ACAAATAAACATAAACCTATAATAAAGAATTTTTTATGGAACCAATTTATGTACCAATTGTTTTTGGAGCTAGTTGAAGTTTTGCAATGTGATATTAGTAGACTTGTTTTTTATTAAACTAATTTTATATATATTTACTAAGGTTAGTTCGTAAATACTTTTAATCACAGGTCATATTTATTGTATATCAAACTAGATTATCATCATCATCTTTACATTTCAGTCTTTGTATTAGATATTTTGTTAACAGTAGTTCAGCTCTTTACCCCCATTTAGCAAATTAGTCTATCTTTCTCTCTTGAGTGTGTGAGTATTGGAATATAAGATGTTGGTAGTTACTGTGACAAGTTTCATGCTTGAGTGCATTTCTTCATTTGTCATTATTATATTCTGTACCAATCCAGCTTTATTTAGTGCTATCTTTTGCTGGGTTCCTTTTATTACCAGATGGGCTTTTAGTGAGTGCACTGTTGTTTTTGATTTTTTGCAAACAAGTAATTATTTGGGTTACTACCACTTGGAAACAGGTTGGTAATATATTTTTGGCTCAAGGAATGTGAATTTAGATCACTGATAATTTACTGTCATATTCTTACGTAGCTTGATAACGAATTATTTGTTTTGTAGGAGGTGTTTGAAATTCTGTATGCTAAAATGCCTGATGAGCCAGCGCCTACAGAACCCACACCTGTTTCACAAATTGAAAAAATTGAGGGCAATACTACCAGTACAGGCAACACAAGCTCTGCGTATTCTGGAAGTTCAGCGAGTGAGAATGATGACAGCGAAGATGAGAGACAAAGGAAAATTAAGCAGCTGCAGGAACAGGTAATTGAAGTTTATTTTTAAAGGGTATGCAGTAACAAAGGAATTAATTATAAAAGTAAGCATGAGAATATGGAACAGATGGTATAGTATCTCATTCACAGATATGATTAACTTTGGGTTTTTAGGTATGCCCGTTATTTTAAACTTCAGTCGTGTATTTATCTTAAGATTTTGAAAAGTTTTGGAAAATGCTTTTTATCTTTTATTTTTACAAGTAGGCATGAAACTTAGCCTGACAAAGGTAACAGTAATCAATTTTGGAAGGTCAGCTTTTAGGTCATCAATAAATTTTTGTCAGATTTTGCCTAGCTTTTCATAACTTATAGCCAGAAATAACGAGTACTGTAAATTGTCAAATGTAAATGAGCATCAATCAAGTTGAAATGGACAGGATTTATAAAATTTAACTTTCTGATAATGGTGAAAAAATTATTTCCAAGCCTGAAAAAAAAATTGTTTTTCTAAACAGTTTCTTGCAACAAAATATTGGAAAAATTTACAGCCTAAAAATTATTAAGTATACCAATCAAATTATATGCTTGACCTCTGTCTGATACTGTGTGGTGCAAGGAAATTTCATGAAGCTGATCATCGTTCTAGAATTTTATTTTTTAGACAAGAATAGGTATATAAAGATGTTATTACAACATTCTGTATCAAACAGGAACATAGAAAGGTGATTATTATGTGCAAGTTGTACGAGTATGTACTGCGGCCTCAGTCTGATCCCAGAGTTGACCCCATACAGTGACATCCGATAATACGGCCACCCAGCTATGCGGCCATTAATTGCTTAGACCCACAGCTGACAGGATAAATGGGGCTGGACCATATTAAAAAAACGACTGTGTATTTTTATTTTTAAGATGTCATAAACAAGCCATGTGAATGTGTCCAAAAACCATAAGAGAAATGCTGATTTTGGAGATGTATATCATTCTTTTACTGAATAGCAGAGAGAGAATTTGTTCAATATTTTGTTGTGCTGTTTCTTTATTTAAGTAATTGGGGATAGAAAACCAATTTAAAAGTTTGAATATTTGTTGTTCTGTGGAATGTAGAAATACTGTATATAGAAAAGTTTTAGTTTTTGTGTATTTTTGTATTAGGTTTACTGTTAAAAAAACGTGTTACTGAATGAAGTTTTTAAAATTTGTACTAAGTACAAATTTTAAGTTTCTAGTATACTTATTGCTCTTATTTTTGATTTAGATTTTGAGTACGTTTGTTTAATTATTTTAATTTGTTTTTCAGTTGCGGGCAATCACTGAACAGATGAGTTTATTAGCAGCTGAGAGTAGGAGGAAAGCAAAGAAAAAAAGGAAAAGGAAAAAGAAAGAGAGAGAAAAAGAAGAGCCTGTGAAAGAAATAAAACCAGAGCCAGAGGCTCCTCCTCCAGAGCCAGTCGTCACCCAACCATCAGTCATTTCACCAATGAACAGCACAGCTCCTCCTCCATCTACAAAAGAAACACACCCACCTAAAACTCAAAAACCAGCCAAAAATAAAACTAATGCAACACCCAATAAATCTCAAAACCAAAACAAGTCTTCGGGTCAGACTAAGAGACAGAGATCAAATAGTAAGTCATCCAAAAAGAGTAGTAAAAGTATACCAGCTTTTGATAGTGAAGATGAAGATAATGCAAAACCAATGTCCTATGATGAAAAAAGGCAGCTGAGTCTAGATATTAACAAGTTGCCTGGTAAGTAATAATAAATATGTCTGTTACAATATTTTGATGGAATTCTAGTTTTAAACCTGTACTCAGTGAAGGATTTTAGTATCTAATTTTTTTGAAACAGTTTTGCAATGTCATAGCTATACACCATTTAAAACAAAATTGAATATTAATTTTCGATGACGAGGAACCCACTTGGAGACTAATAATGTTTGGAAATGGCTTAAATTGGTAATGAAGAAAACTTAAATATAAGTTTAATGTAACTGTTCCATACTGTATATATATCTATGTCAGTGTAAACTACTTGTACCTGATGATGACAAAACCTTGTCGAAACATTGTACATTTGCTGTTATGTTAAACTTATATTAAAGTTTTTTTTTCCTTACCCGTTCAAGCTGTATCCAAGCATTATGAATATTAATTTGTTCTAATTTTTAATTTAAAAAGAAATTGTGATTCTAAGCCTAATTACTTTGCTATTTTAATTTTTCTTTTGTCTGAGAAAATGTGTGGATGTCTGAGTTAAACTTTTTTTTTAAGATGCAAATTACAACTCTAGTTAATATTTAAATTGAAGTAGTTGACTTTTAATCAACTTTGATGTTAAATAAAAGGATAAACTTAAATATATATTTATATAGGCAGTACTGTTTCTTCATTTCAAATATATGAAATGCTCTAATTAGTCATGTTAAAATGCATCTTTTTCTTTCCTTATTATCTCTGTTATTTCATCTCATAACATGATTCAACTCTTAGCTCTTTCATTGTTTTACTGCTTAACTCATCTGTGTGTGATGTCATCACTTTTTACAGTTACATTCAAAATTGGCCAGGTGGTTAGGGCACTTGACTCACATTCTGAGAGTGGTGGGTTAGAATCCCCATCCCACTAAACATGCTTGCCCTATCAGCCATGGGGGAGTTATAATGTGATGTTCAATCCCACTATTCATTGTTAAAAGAGTAGCCCAAGAGTTGGTTGTGGGTGGTGATGACTAGCTGCCCTCTCTCTAGTCTTTCACTGCTAAATTAGGGATGGCTAGTGCAGATAGCCCTAGTGTAGCTTTGGGCAAAATTCAAAACAAACCAAACATTTAAAATTTAATTAAACTAAGTTATCAAACTATATGAAAAACTTCGTGTTCAGACATAGTTAATAAATTAAATTTTAATATTATATGTTTGAATTTCATAATTTTTCAAAAGAAGTTTTTAAATGTTTGTGTAATGTGACATTTTTTTTGCTTCAACTTGCCCATTTTCTGTGTTTGTTTTCATCACTCTGTGATGTCCTGAGTTTAACAGAAATTAGTTGTTATAATATAGACATTACTAAGACATAGTATAATTTTTATAGCCTTCAGTCTTTTTTGTTTAAAAATATATAAACCAGAAAGTCTAACCCACTTGTCACACTATCCTGTCACATCCTATCTTTCATAAATTGTCAGGAATTCTCTCTGACGTTTGCTATTAGATCATTTGTAGCCAATAAGGCTTACCTGGCATTCAAAATTTAACCTGTACTACTAAACAACCTTTCTGTAGGGGTGCTGGAATTGCCAGATACTTAAGTGCAAGTCTTCTAAGTTGTGGTTACAACAAGTGGGCATTATCTCCCTAGGATCTCTGTGGTTCATCTTGTAGATGTTAGAGAGTGAGTGCCGATGTGCAAATTCACTTGTTCTTGAGCAATCATTTTAGGAGACTTTTGGACTGTGGGCACATTCTTATTTTAGTAAATAGGTGTAAGCAGCTTCAAACCAACATTGGTCGTGTTCTTTGTTGGTAGTACTTGAACTACTGGGCACTGAAACATATGAAGGTGTCACTTCTCCAATGGTATTGGTCATTTGTTCTAAGGGTCCACATGTCAAAAGTAATGACCATGTTATATGTCGTAGAAAGTTAATCCATAACCTCTCGAATACTTCTGTGTGGTTTTGGGATAAATTCTCACTTCATTATTTCCTTGATGGTATTGTATGTAGTTTATTAGTACCTTTGATACCTTTTTCTGTTTCATGTTTTCCTTAGGATACTTACCTTTAATTGCTAAAAAACTTGTATAGTTGACTGTCTTTTCAATGATTGTTATACAGATGTTGAACTAGCTGTATAACTAGTGTTCCTGGTACTTGATGATTGTGATGAAGATGGGGATTCATTTAAAGCTGTTGTTGCACCATAGTGCTTTGGTGCATCTCCCTAAATACATCACTGTAGATAAGTTGTAAATTATTTCATAGTATTGCAACTAAATTTCAACACCGCTTCACAATGTATACTCATATTCCTTATTCTGGACCCATTCCCCTAGATCAGTTTATACAATACTAAGTATTATAGTTACCAAATATAATTAGAAACAAGACCCAATGTAAAAAAAACAACAACAAACAGTAAATTTACACTTTATTTAACCCAGAGAGTTGGTAGTGGGTGCTGCCAGCCAGTTGTCTTCCTATTCAGCAGCTCAAAATTAGTGACAGTGGCAGATAGCCTTTATTTAACACTTAATTAGCCAGAGAGTTGGTGGTGGGTACTGCCAGTCAGTTGCTTTCCTTTGAATTGATTGTATTTTTGTGGCATTAATACATTAATCTTACGGGGTGCATATACATCTTCAAAAGTGCTTGAAATTGAGAATGGAACTTTAAGGGCTTGAAAGTGCATGAAAAGGGGCATTTTTTTAAAAAAGTACTTGAAAATATTATAATAGCAAAATATATATATCGATATAATGCATGTTGTGGAGTTGAACACATTAAATAAAGTTTTTTCTTTTCTACATTCATATGTTGAACAAACATACAAATTTTATAAAATTTTGGTGGAATCTGATTGATTTTGATGTAGGTTTTAGCTTCGAAAAAGTGCTTGAAAATCATTCTGAGAGTGCTTAGTAAGTGCTTGAAAATGATTTGAAACAATTCAATACGAACCATGATCATAATTTTGATTAATCAGTTATTGGAATAATAAAAAGTAGTAATAATTGGTTTTGATTAGTTGTATTTTTGTGACATTATTTGATTATTTCAGCAATTGAAAACAGTTCTTGTGGTTGCAAGGTCATTCAAAGTGACTGAGCCTGTATGGAGAAAAGTTAATTTGTTCTTTCTAAACATCCATTTGTATCAACAATTCACATAAAAACTCATTGTTATTCATAATTCCCAACTTGTTAATCATACCAATGATGTTATTAGAAAAATGTTCTTAAAAGTCTGAAATTATAGATCTTTTTAATATTACCTGATTTTGTTATCTCTTAAAATACTTTTATATACACCGTATAGATAATGTTAATCTCTTTCAAGGGGTAGTCTAGTGTCATCAAAGTTTTCTTGCCAAGTAGTAAATGTTGAACTGTCTTTGTTTTTGTAGGACCAGAGTGAATTTTTTTTTCAATTGAATTATATCACACTGTGACAATAGTTAATAGTTTTATCACATTAAATTTAAGGATAATTACTTTTAAATTATTTATTCATTTGATTTTAGTAGTCCTTTGAAAATTTGTTGGGAGAAACCCCTAGGAATTGTGTCAATCATACTTTCAGCTAGTTGGTTTCTGTTGCTGAAACTGGATGGGCATATTAAAAGGGATGGCTGGTAGTTATGCAAGGCTTATGAAAACATTAACATTGAGAACAGGATATGGCTATCTTACTATATATAACAAACCAAATACTCGTTAGCTGCTAATATTTTGTAGTCTTTTTTAACTATAGTACTATTGTCAGTCCATTATTCTATATGTATTAATCTTTACCATTCAATGTTGCTTAACTCCTGTGTTAGGCTTCTTATTTTTTTGTTGAAATGAGATCAGAAAACAGGTTTATTTTGCTTTGTGTTAGTCTGTACTTACATATTAATCAAAAAACAGGTTTATTTTGCTTTGTGTTAGTCTGTACTTACATATTAATGAAATGAGATCAAAAACAGGTTTATTTTGCTTTGTGTTAGTCTCTAATTACATATTAATTTGTCATCATCAGGTACAAAACCTTGTCAAAACATTGTACATTTGCTGTTATGTTAAACTTATATTAAACCTTTTCTTCATTACCCATTCAAGCTGTCTCCAAGCATTATTTGTGTTAGTCTGTACTTACATATTAATGAAATGAAGTTTTCATTAATATGCAAGTACAGACTAACACAAAGCAAAATAAACCTGTTTTTTTTGAAGTAAAAAAACAGGTTTATTTTGCTTTGTGTTAGTATATACTTGCATATTAATGAAACAGAATATCTTTTATGATATGTTATTTTATTTCTGCACAAAATATACTTGATAAATAAATGTTATGTATCTGAATTTATACGTGACTTATATTATTTCATTGAAAATACAGTAAGGAAGTGGAATGCTTTTATATAGTATTTACGATACATAATTTAGGATAAATCCTATAGAGATCAGCACAAACAGCATTTCCAATGTCATCTAGCGAGCACTGATTGTAATGCAAGATAATGTGCAAATTATTGAAAATATGGCAAGTAAGGGTTTACCCGAATTAACTCTTCAGATATTTTTGGAAACGTGAAGGGTGCCCAATTTATCTTGGGCAAATCACGGAGTACTATTGTAAGCACTACTTTCCAAACAAGTTTGTCTGATTTGTGATAGTTTTTGTTATCACTATATTTACAAGCACTTACAATGATGCATTTCCTTTTTTTTCTTGTTTTGTCACCTTTTATGTTTTACTGTTGTAATACACGTGACATATTTATAGTATTATTATTATCAACAACAGATATTGTGTGGAACCTTGATGTATGTAACTTATAAAAGTATATTTACTAGCTTCTGTTAAAAAAAAATAGGGCTCACTTTCCAACAAATGAAGTTTTTTTGTTTATTTACTTTGCTCGTCATGTATTGTTATTTACTCGATGTATATTGTCTTGTATTAAGTGATACATCTTTCAGAAACATCAGATATAACAGATGAGTTCAATTTTACCATAAAATTAAAAAAATGTAATTTGATGTGACTTGGAGCAAACTGAATTCCGCAGTTGTTTTTATTTTTTTATTAATAACTAGTGATTTTTATGGAATTGCACATTTTCTCTGTGTATGTATAAATAGTATAAAATAAAGACTAAATGAGAGTGGGGTTGGGGGTGGGGGAAGTGACACCAGTATAGAAATACAGTTTAAGTAACCCAAATGAATTGTGCCTGGAACTCATTCTTAATTGAAATATTCTTCAACATACGTCACGCAGGCATTTTCAAAATATTCTAGTGTGGCTAATATTTCTTAAACATTAGACCTAGATTTCTTAAACCTAGAGGGTTGCGGGGGGAGTGCAAAATTTATGATTATGTTCTTGTTTATTTCCCAACAGGTGACAAATTAGGTAGGGTCGTCCATATCATCCAGTCCAGAGAACCCTCACTTAGAGACTCCAATCCAGATGAAATAGAAATTGATTTTGAGACTCTGAAGCCCTCCACATTACGGGAGTTGGAAGCATACGTTGCTTCATGTTTAAGGAAAAAACCTAGGAAACCATACTGTAAGTAATTTTTATATTCTGATGTGATCCGTTTAAATTTAGCTTTATATATAACACTAAAAACATTAATTTCTTTTAATGTAGATTAGAAAAATTTATTTGTGATTAAAGTATCATATACTTTTTTTACTGTATATGAATGTCTTTTTTATTCATTATATAAGTTAAATGTTATATAAATCTGTTTTTTTTCTTATTGCATAATTCCACATGTATGTCATTTCATGTACATCTACACCTTTCTACTGCTTAAGCAGTATCATTCATATAACGACATGCAGGCTCATTGTTTGCCCTTTAACAAAGGTTTTCTTGGCTGGTCTTGTCGAGTTTATTTCATCTTTCAGCACACTTTCCTCCCATTTTTAATCTTTCACTGTTTTATTTGTTTTATCCTTTTCTCTGTGCCCTTTATCTCTGTGTTTCTAATCTAGTCTTTGATGGTTTTTTTCTTCTCCTTATACGACTTATTTTTGTAGGAAATATTAGCATTTTTGAAACTTTAATTAATCCCCGACACATCTGTACATATTTTTGTATGCATGCGTGAGCTGTTCTTTTATATTTTAGTTTCAAATAAATATTTAATATTTATTTTTTGTTTTGGGAGAAAAGAGTGCTGATGCTCTGAATTCTTGCTTATACTGTTTGGCTTAAAAGTTATTGCAAATTAGAAAAAATGAAGAAAACAGGAAATACTGAGATAGTTTCTCATGCTGGTGCTAATTAGTCACCATTGCCTGTGTGTGTAGCTTCCAAGAACAAATCAGCAGGCAAGTCTAAAGAAGAACAAGTTAGGGAAAAGAAGCAAGAACTAGAAAAAAGGCTGCAGGATGTCAGTGGCCAACTATGTCCTTCTAAAAAGCCAGCCAAGAAAGGTAAGGGGGTGAAACAGTAGAATGCACACTTGTTTTGACCATAGCTTTATAAGAAAGAAGACAGTTATGTACTCTAATGAACTTGCTTAGCACTGTCACATTAGGGAGAAACTGTTTTGACCATAGCTTTATATGAAAGAAGACAGTTACGTACTTTTAATGAATTGGCTTGGCACTATCCTGTTTTAGAGTACAAATCACAATTTTTAAATTATTGAGAGACCTACCAGTTTCCTTCTATTGACTTGTATTTATTTGGATATTTCTCTACTTGTGTGCTATAACAATTTGAGAACTTTTAAAAATTGCATGAACTCGGAATGATCACAGACACACAGGAATTTTTCCATTTTTCATTTGTTGTTGTCTTATTACATTAGATGTGGAACTCTTATTACACGGAATACACTGATCTTTAAGTGCTATTATTGTAAATCTCCACAATTCAGTATATTTTGGTGGGAATCCATAATTTAGTTCAAATGAAAATCTGACTTCTTGCTTTGTAATGTATTTAAAAATTGTTCATACATGAATTTGTTAAGTACTTTGTATGTGTTTACTTGTCTGACACTTAGTTTCCAGTATTGGAATTTTATTATGTTTGTAACAAAACTGAAACCGTTTTATACTTTAAATGTGATTCATTTGCTTTTGCAACCAGAATATGATTGAATTTATCATATTTCACATTTGAAAAAGAAACATTATGTAATTTTTGTTAGTGTGTGTGTGTAATCAATGCAGTACGAATGGTTATTCCAGAATAATTTTCTTTAAGTTCTGTTTTATGCATAAAATCATTAAGTGACCAAAATACTCTCCTGGAATTATTTAGTCATATTTTCAGAAAATAAGTGTTTAAGCTTTTGAAAGTTATGAGTATTAACATTTGATTAGTAAACTGATTGTTTAACATTTATTACAAAATATGTGAAGGGTGATAAAATTATTAAAATTCTTACTGTATATGTAAACAAACATTTTTCTCACTTAATTATATATATATATATATATAATAATTTAAATACATCAGAAATGATACTTTGTATTTCTGTGTTGTTTAGATTTCGAAAGGCTTACTTACCTTTTACTTTGAATTATATTTATGCATCTTTGATTATTCTTTACAGAGGTAGAAAACTCCCATGGTGATGTTGGTGGTCCAAGCAGACTAAGTGCTAGCAGTAGTAGTTCAAGTGACAGTGATAGCAGCAGTAGTAGCAGCACCAGTAGCTCATCAGACACCAGTGACTCAGAGTCAGGTTAGACCATTTTATATCTAGCAGCTGCAAATCCAAATCATACAAACAGTCTGCCAACAAAATATGCTTGTCCTGGCCCCATTTTCTGGAGTCTCGAAGACTGAGGGTAAGCTGGAACAAGATAGGAACTACACCAAGAGCTTCTAAAATGCTACTCTGGTTGTTTTTTTGTTGTTTTTTTTCTCTACAGTTGTTGGAGAAGTGTGCAAACTTGCATATGATGCCCAAGGCCATACAAACCTTAATAATGGCATTTTCACAATCTTTTAATTTTTTTAATGAAAATTTAACAAGATACTGTATGATTGTCTTAAACATGTGAAATATGAACTAATTTTTTTTTTTTTACACGACCTGGGTATTGCTGTCACACTATTTCTTCGGAAAAAAAAAACAATTTTTTTGGACTGTAAATTTTCATCATCAGCATTTAAGTCATCATGTTTATCTTCATAGAAAAATATCTCACTGATACAGCTGTGTTTTTTTAAGATGGTGCTTTTATTTTTTACATTTATAAACAAATATTACATGTAATCAAATTCATTACCAGCGCCATCTTGTGTAAAGTTAGAATGCAAAACATTTCAGTAAGTTATTCCATATGCTCCTTGTGTCAATGTTAAAAACATTTATTCATCACTGTATGTAAATAACAGTTACTTTATTTCTTAAGCCTATTTTCCATTGGCTTTCATATTTGCAAAAAACTGATTATGTCAAGAGTCAAAGAGTGCAGTGTTCTGAGGTCAGTCAGTTTTAATATTATTAATATGTTCGTAATTAAAAATTGTTCCAGTAAAGAAGATAAAGAAGGAGGAAGTTACATCAGTGTTTATATATTTATAAAATACAATTTTTCAGACAAGCTTTTTAAAGCAGCCAAGTTAAAACCTCATAAGTAGTTGGAGTCTTGTGAAAGTTTACAAGTGTTTCCAGTGACTTGAATCTGTGACAAGAACCTTTTCTGTGTTATTGAAAGGTACAAAACTCGTCATTTCATATCTTGAACAAAATTATCTTATATTCTTTTAACGTTTTTTTTTTTAGTTAGACTCTCCTACTTTCACAATTCATCAGGTTTCTCTGTGATATTTACTCATTGAAACATCTCCATGTTCTGTCAGATATTTATGACTTAACAAAACTGACAATCAGAACTATGTAGAAGGACTGTTCTCTCCTATATTGTGATAATTAAAAAAAAAAAAAGGGAATTTGACATCCTTTAAACTTGAAGACTTCAGCTGTATGTAAGCTGACACTTTTGTTGATTACAAGCTTGAATTTTGTTAAAATGTTATCTGGAAGAATGTTTTTCAATTCATATCATAGTTAATGTGATGCTGCTCTGAATCCTTAGTATTTTGTCACGTGTGCTTAATATTATCGTAACAGAAAAAATAGAAGTAATTTGTAAACAAAAATTGTACGGTTGATAGAGGCTGTTTACAGAAGGTATCTTAGGGTAGTAACAGTGTGTGTTTGTGTGTGTGTGTAAATGTTTTAATTTTTTTCCTCCTTTTAACCAAATTTCGTTTTGTCATTTGGCGGTTGAACTTATGTTTTAGTATCTTGTTAAAATGATTGTTGTCTTCAGTTAGATGATTCAGTAGGCTGAAAACTTTCTTTGATTTAGTTGGTATTTGTGAAGGTATTAATAGGAATTGTTTGTTGTTTTATTTTTATTCAGTATTTCATAGATAAAGGAACAGATGTTTATTAAGTTTATTCAGTCATGTGATGGCAACTTTCAACACAAGTTTCCCATGTTGATTTGAAAGATGAAATAACATTCAGGGTTTATAACTATTTGAAAATTGCAAATATGTTTATTTTATGGAAAATGTTTATTTATGAATGAATGATGACACTACTTAACACAAGAAAGTTAAAACCACAAGAATTGAGTTACATAAAATTTCAACAGTTTTATCCCAACTTAAGCTCAGACACATAATTACAGTGATTTGTGAAAGTAGGGATAAAAATTTTAAGTAACTCACTTTTTTGTTGTTTTGACTTTCATGTTTCAATACTTTTTGTAGTATTAAAACTTTCTATGTCACTATAGCTAGCTAGGTTACATGTATATCGATCCCTACTTGTCTTTATAATTTTTTATTTTTATTATACTTGTTTGTATCATTTTTATTAGTTTTATTTTTGTGCACTAGCAGTACCAAGCGTGGGGCATTCATATACCCAATTTGGTTTTACACATCAGGATCTCTACCAACTTACCTTGAAATCTAATTATATGCTAAAGTAGTGCATCATCTGTTTCATATATATATATACTAGTATCCATCCTTTTTGGTACAAGAAAGGAATGATTGGAACTCCAGATGTAGGACTAATGTGAAAGAAGTAAAGCAATAAGGTTCATCATTTTTCTGTACGATTACCTGAAAAAGATTGCTTGCTTCCTCAGATGAAAATTCGTTCAAATACTTAAATTTTGATTCACTCCATAAACACGTATATATAGAGATTAAGGCGATTTTATAACTACAATAAGCTTTAGTTTTGTCAGCCAACACTGTGAAATAGTTGTTAATATTCAGATATTTTAGCCAGGTGATTTTTATGGCCACCATTTTGTTTCATAATGATCCCTACTATTAAGTACAACCGTACTTAATGATGTGGTACAGTTTTTGCGAAAAGGGAATAGTTCAGTATTGACAATCCTTCTATACCTAGCAATACTGTTGTGATAAAACCATAAAATACATTGGTTATGTGTTTTTTGAAATGTAAATTATACGAAGTAAGTGTATGGTATAGGTGTGTGATTACATATATATGGGGGGGGATTTTACTTTTCATCCTTTTAACTTTCCTGACTAGAAATATTTCTTTGACCCACAAAACAAATGTACTTGATGTAAGTTTTATATTGTGTGTGGCTATAAGCAATAATCTTTTATAAAGAAGTATAGGATGGGTTATTGCTTTGGTGGGGGACTGTGGGAGGAGTTATTTTGATTGAAATATTGAAGTGTTGTTGTTGAAATAGTCTTGGCTTTACTGCAGGTATTAGGTTGTTTATCTTAAATTCTCCAAAAATGTTTTGCATTTGTTTCTGAGAAGTTAATATTGGTATTTACAACTTTTATCTTAATATAGTTTCCAAAATAGTACTTCTGTATACATGTTGTGATATTAGGAATGTGTGCTTATACCTACAAACACATTTTTCAATGAGATACCTATACTCTTTAGGTTAAGTGTATGAAATACCTAGGTTTAGGATGTTCGCAGACTGCTTCTGGTAATTAAATCATCTTCTTATAAATAATAATTTAAGTGTAAAAGTTATAGGTTGGATGAGAGGATTTATTTCAATAATAAGGAAAAAGAAACAAAAGTCACCTGTTTGTCTTCGTTTCAGTTACCATTTAATAAACGTGATTTCAGTATTATTTTTACTCCTTTGGCAATAGTTTTTATGAAGCAGAGAAGGTAATCTTGTTTTAGTTGTATACAGTTTGCTCATACGTCTGTAACTGCATACCTGTCCTGGTTAATCCTCAGAAAAGTTGTCTGAATAAAAACGTTTAAGCCCTTTCTAGTCATGCTAATATTTACAGATAATCTGTGAGAATTTTTTTTAGCATATTTGAATAAGATTTTTAAATTCACATTATCATTTGTTGTTGTCTTATTAACAATATAAAAAAAGTGCAGTTTTCTGCTAGAACTATGAATAATCCCTCATTTATGTGCTTGCTTAGGGCTAGTATTTTTATCTACTTGTGCATTTTTTAACTATTCCAGTTAAATGTAATTTTTTTAAATTTATGGAATAGAAGTGAATTTTTTCCTGCCCCAGTAAAGATTACACAAACATTGTGTAATTTAAACATATATGGATGAAAATATACATTAAATTTAATATCATTTTGATGGTATGCCTATAAAGCAATTTTCTCAATTGGGTCAATAAAAAAATATATATACATTATATTTTAATTTTTAGCAGATTCACCTTTGTATAAGTAAATTTAAGGAGCTTTCAGTACCCCAATGTTGCATTCCACTCTGAAGAAACTGAAATATCTATCCCACAAAGTTGTTGCTGGCTGACCTTAGCACGGTTGCACTCATAGGCTGTCTGAAAATATTTCTTAAAGAAAAAATTAATTCATGTCGATTTAGTGTCAGTGTTCCATAGTTGTATAGTACTGGATCTTGCTGAATATTTGTATACACTTGTTACCCTGCTGAAACAGGTTTTACACGAGTCCTTTTTTATCTATGATGTTGAATGAAAATGACTGAATGTATTATCAGTCATCTTGCTGCTGTTTATAGACAAACGTCTCAGACACATGTTTCTGATTCTGTGTGGTGGAAAATAAAAGGCACAAATAGTGTTATCTGTTTTGTTAGGTCATTCTTCATTAGCAATAAGTGTTCCGTGTGTGCTGTGATGTCATTTAACACTAATTTCTTTCCATTGACAGTTGTAAATAGGAGTAGAGTATCGTATTCATTTGCTTGTTTACACAGTCATCTACATCATTTCTGTTTGTCATTTTCACTGTTCATTATTGATCTTGTTCATGTTCAGCAATTGTATTCTTGTGTTGTATATTCCCTTAAAATATGACAAATAAAAAAAAATAAGAGTGACATACTGATTTTGTGATTATTTTTGTCTCATTATAATATTTGGCTGTCTGCCTCAGTTATCACTGCACTCAAAACATGGCAAATATGAATCTTGTTTTTACATCAAAATATATACTTTTTTTTTTGGTGAGTACTGTTTCATTCTAAACGTTTGTTTTTCTTTTATACTTTTTACCAAAAAGTTGCACTTTGTCCTAGAAGTGGCACCCGTGTAAAATAACTTCATCATAAAAATGAAATGACACGGTTCAAAAATCAGTAAAAGGCTACAAGACATTTTTTTATACATAAAGCAATTTTCAAAATTGTGAGTATACACTAGTAATAACATTTTAAAGTTAATTATTAGAATTAAATCC